CATCCGATGATACTAGACTACTAGGACATAAATTTACGTTGTGTCAACAAATTAATAACAGCCGACCTTTCATTAACTCCTTACTATTACTTACAATTTAATGAAAACATTAACACGAAAACTGTAAACTCAAATCCTCCAGGCATCTGGAGTTGAATGGATGTGGCATTTGGGATTCTTTGTCAAAAAGAATTAATGATTCAAAAAATAATCGTCGGCTATATTTATCCGTCGCGACGAATTTCTTTTCACAATATAACGATACTGGAATGGCAAGACATCATAAGAAACTATTTTGTTGTGATACCAATTTCATAAGTTTCTCAGAGGTGGCGCAGACGCCAAATAAGCCATCGGCCCTGTTGTTCGATCTTAGTATCAATAATAGTTAAAAAGCTTTATTTGGCCTGCCCAGATGAGGTCACCTCAAAATCGAGTTGATTTTAAAATCCTACACAATTGACATAATTCATAATTTTGGTATTACAAAATTTAACAAACCCGTAGAGTATCTTTGATAAATTATAACACTAAATTTAGATTTTAAATATTACTTAAGAGTGGTTACTATGGCGACTTTTAGCAGCGATACAAACGTGCGTTCGTGAAACGCTACACTTGCGATTTATAGGCGATTGCATCGATACAAACACGCGACTGCATCGATACAAATAACTATGCAATCGCCTATAAATCCCAAGTATAGCGAGTGGTACGGCCCCAGAACCTCGGCTCCGACTTTACAGCCTTTGGAGTCAAAACTCTTAGCTCATGGGGTTCCGGTGCCCTTCATCTGTACAAATGTTTACCCAAAAATTAACGCAGCTACAACGCCTTAGCGTAGCCATACAAAGAGGGAACGCTGCCAGCATCTTGGGCACCTTGCCGCGGGGATCCAATTTTATTCATATAATTTAACCCTAGTTTTACTTTCTACTATTTATTGTACCCTTACCTGTATATTTTAACTTATTGGCTAATAAAATCGCGAACTTACAAATTGTCTACTAATGCTCTTTTTAACCGACTTAAAAAAAGGAGGAGGTTATACGTTCGGCTGTATGTATGTTTTCAGACATCTCTGTCAATTGTAAACCGATTTTGAAAATTCTTTTTTTTTTTTAAAAGTTGCACTCTCGTGGTGGTCCCATTGTCACCAAATCAGAATCTGATGCGGGGATCCAATGAAAATCGAAGGAAATCCTCAAATTTTATAGGAATGTCCGTGTTTTCACCAATTTCTCCACCAAATGTGCACCGATTTTGAAAATTCTTTTGTTTCAAAGGCTTATACTCTTGAGGTGATCCCTGACGCTGTTCCGGGTTAGTTTCGGCTATCACAAATTACTAATTATGTTCTGCAAATAAAGTCGACTTTTCACTTGAGACCTACATGTGATCAAAAAATCACCATCACCATGACAACCAGAAAAGACAATACAAAGTGTACAAAGGACTCTGTAACAGTCCCATTGTCACCAAGAAGTCAAAATCTGATGAGAGGATCCCGTGGCAATGAAAAAAGTCGATAAGCAAACTTTTGAGGTCATTTTTTTAATAAAAAAGTATATCAACGCCTTTTACCAGACTGGACAACACTCTGACTTTATTCTCAATTTGAATATTCAGAAGTTTCACAGTTACAGTTAACTCGCGACATAATCTGGCAGGCAATAACGGCTGGTTTAATCAACGTGGCCTCTAATGAAAGACAATTTGTCCTCGGTTAAAGGCAGTAATTAAGAGCGTCAGTAATTTCGGACAATTTTGTCCGAAATCGGCCGAAAGCAATCGTTTTATTTGATCCGTGAACTTTAACGTTCCATTTGGTTGTATTCAATTGTATTGAGTTACATTGTGCTTATCAAAGCGTGTATTTGGTTTTATTTGAAACTCTGTTACTGGATTTGAATCAGAATTGTTTGAGCAAGAATATCTCCCGTTTCTAAAAAAATACATGTTGCCCGTGAAACTTACCTATGTATTTGTTACGTACGTTATATACATATAGTAGCAGTAGAGCTCGTTGTGAAAGATTTGGTCCAGGGGGCCTACCACAACCTCTTAAAACAATATTACTTTAACCTTACATTGACTTTTCGTAGCATAACGCGCTTAAAGTGAGCCTATTTGTATTAAAACTATTGTGTTAAAACTATGATGTTTTAATGGCAGCTTTGTGACTATTTATTCACTCAGTTCGTACCATGACGCGACTTTGACATTAAAGTAATGTTGCTCTTATGTCAAATTTAGCAATCTTAAAATATTTACACGGATGCAATGGAAACAATATTATTTTCAATTTTATTATCTTAATATTGATTTGTAATGATTAAAAGTTAAGTTGAACTTATTTATTTACATATATATTCTACATATCTCTTCAATATTTTGTTTATTTTTTATTTAATAGCACATAGGAAATAATTTCTCGTAAAATAAAAATACGCGATGTATGTATATTTCGTAAAATTATGACAGCGCCATCTATATGCTCCTTGGCGAAACTAACAGTTGACACTAGACTATAGTTCCGAATTCACAACGTGACTATCGAGACTCAGCTAGTTTTATTTAATTTTCTTTATGAAAATGCGGAATAATAATTGAAAACAACGTGATTTTAATAAATTTCATTATTACATACTTTTCTTTTTTTGACAGTTAAAATTCTCTGAATGTAAATAACATTAAGAACTTTAACGTTATACTACGATAACAGGATTTGGAACATCAAAAAAGAAAGAGATAACATTATACAGTTCATATAGCGTTATTTCTTTCCTATTTTTATAGTAAGGAATAGACAATATTGGGAAATCATTAGTTTTTTCAGTCATTTTAGCAATAATACATTTCTTGGTAGACAAGTTTGTCATGGTACGAATATGAGTAATATTATAACAAGCCCACTTTAAGCTTACAATGAAATAAGACTGTTTTTGGAAAGGTTATGTTAGGCCCCCAGGTAAGTACTGTCACCTTACCTATTTCTGCCGCCAAGCGGTAATATGAGCATTACTGAGTTCCGTTACACATAACGTTCCTAAAAACCCATTGCTTATTTTAACTACATCGATAAAAAGTGCATTGCTATCAAATCTATTCTATCTATTAACATGCATCTACTGCCTATACAAGTCAAACGAAACGAAATTTTTCCCGCTTGTTTCTTTTTTTAGTTTTCTTGGTAAAAAATAAAAACATCGACGTTTCCGGGCATCTGTACCGCTAGCTCGCTGGAGACTAGGAAGAGAAAGATGAATCTGGTGCGATTTGCACCAAATTCCAATATTGCGTTTCTGAGTTATTGGCGCGGTTCATAGTGTACACATGGTTCACTGTCGACCACCCTACCCTACTCATTGACCTCTTAGGTGTTCGCGAATTTTTGGGACCTAAATTGCGTATATTTTTTTTTCAAACAAACCGGGCTCTTTGCAGGTCCCAACACTTAGGGCAACCGATGGTTTATTGATTTTGCTGCACTTTCAATCATTATTGTGATAGGAAAACTACTGATTTCCACCAGGCATCCATAGAAATGTAGCGGCATCTTGCCAAAGAGCAAAAATGACCATCGATACTCTGCACCCTATGCATGATCACTTCACCGTGCAATAGAGACTGAGGAGTCGGAAAAGTTTTATCAAAAGTGTCGATCCTCTGAGCATTGAGCCGGCTCAGGCGAGGTGCAACCTTTGGTGCGAAAGTGTACCATCTACATTTGTCTCGCCTTTTGTGAGCCTTCCTTCTGGACACGAATTGTCATGGCCGACCTGGACGTCTTTGAATAGACTTCGAACTCAGCTCGGTCGGAGTAAGGACAATTTGTTCAGGTGGGGATTTTCGGATGATTTTAACGATGGCCCACCTCATATCGTACCCTGCGTGCCCTAACTCGTGCACGCTTGAGGATTTAATGGCGACTGTTAATGACGCGGTCGGCGTGGTTGAGTTCTGGGTATAATGTATGTTATCGATACGATAAGAAGAAGAAGACCTATTTGATGAATTGACTGTAAAGCAGAACAAATTACAACCGACTCACGAAATTTTAAACATGACTGCCGTGGTCGAACGGTTACGGTGGATCCGTCGAGCAGAAATATTTATTGCTCTCGTGAGTTTGGATGTATTTTATGGCTGTGTAGGTATGTGTGTGTTCATGGCACCCACGATACAGGGTTTCCCTAGTGCAGAGCTATGAATGAGTGCGTTGTTACTATTATTATTAAACATAATACTTCCGGCGTGTTCCGACGACTGGAAATTGATCACTTGACCCTGGAGTGTATATTAAATGTGATTGTGGTCAAGCGTGTGTCCATTTTTCATGAAATTGTCTAGAGTGGTTTTTTCTTTGTGGTCTTAACTACAAGTTATGCTTTACAAACTGTAACTTGTTTAAACTACAAATTTAAAATCTATATCAATTTTAACAACGTGTGTTGACTCATTAATCTACCTTGTGTTGTGTGTCGTCCACCGTATCTATAGAAGATTTCCTATCCTAGATATAATAACGCTACAAGTGACCATAAGATGTAATTCATAAAAATAATGCGAAGTATTTGAAATTTAAGCATAAATTATAACTTTTTATTAAAAAAATCGACCTCAAAAGTTCGAGTACAACTTTTTTTAAAAAAAAAACACCGCCTTCTAAAGGTCGTGAAATTACATCTATTAGCCAAGTTTTGTTGAGAGTGGTTAACGGAAAGTGTATGAAACAGGATTCATCTCCCAGTTGCACCCTTAGAAGTGGAATATTTTCTTGAAATTTAAATGGGACTCTTTCCAACAAAAAAATAATCATCGAAACTTTCTTTTTGGAGTCGGTTAAAAAATCATCGGTTAATTTCCTTCGTAGGATCCTCAAACCTTTTTCCTGAAAAGTGGTAATTTTGCAGATGTGGCTTTATGCAGGTGCAATTTATTATTTAGACTAATACGCGGCGGCAAACTTATTCTTATATCAAATCTTTTACCACCAGGTGGCAGTTGCAGTAGAAGAAAGACGATGGTGGTACCCTCGAGCAGCCTTGCAACTGCGAGTTCTAGCACCGCCGGACTCTACTATGTGTCTGATCGGCGCCCGCGCACCCCCTGAAGCGCGGTTCGATCCTCATCAATCGTAAGTATTCAATACCATTTTATAAAGACATTCAATTTAGTAGCAGTAGAGCTCCTTGTGAAAGAGTTCGTCCAGGGAAGTACTGCTGATGGGCGCAATCGCGCGGACTTTCCCTATTCCTTCTGAATGCTGTATTACGCACGATAGAGTGTCTGTGTAAAGCCCGCCATTAGCTTATCTAGTAAATACTCCTTATAGGCTGGTCATGTTATTAAGTTTAACATCCTTTACTTCTTTTTATCTCTTTAACAGTTTATATCGAAATTTTTTATAAAGAATCCTGTTGACGTCCAAAGAATGTGAGGATATAAAATTCTTCCAAATAGGAGATGTTTACGATATGTCGCCCCTGGTTCCTTTATGTATTTTAATAAGTCGGTCTAGACACATCTTCATGACTGTTTAATAAAGTTTTATGTCCTGAAGCAAGACGTGTATAGCGATGAAAAAATAAGTAGAAATGCAAGTACTTAGGTATATCATAGTTTAAATTTCATGAACAATTAAATGTGTCTTCTGTGATAGAAAAAGTGATTGGAGTGGAAGTGGGTTTGGGCTTGGGACGGTCTTATCATACATGTTATTATGTTGAATCTTTGAAATTAAGTTCGATGCGTCTTGATAAAAAATACTATCTGCAGAGGTGTACAGAACTAAGTTAGGAATTTTCTTTTCACTGACTTTTGTACCTCCGCAAAGCGAAGGATTTTGCATTAAAATAATAATTTGTGAGTACATAGCCACCTGTGATACTGTAGACGCAGGATGAGGAGGTCCTAGGATTGATTACCGGCGAGACCAATTTGGGAAATTAACTATTGTAATTTGGTTCTCCTCTGGGTGTTCTGAATCGTGCCCCAAAGTGAATTCCGTTGCTCTGGTACTCATAATTTAGGGAATTTCCTAGTTTCAGATCATGTTATTAGTGTGGCTGTCTGGCAGATTAAAAAAAGAAATCTGTACTGTAAACTTGCGGCTATATATATCAGATCTATTAAAGTAAGACTGAAACAAAACGGTCTAAATAAGCTTCAAACATTTAAATTACAGGGCTGATGTACATGCGTATAATATATACACTTCTCAAAAATGTCTAGGGATCAAGGTATTAAAAAAAAATTGACTACCCTATTAAAGAAATACTTCACAGATTTCTCATAGATGGCGCAAAGGCTAAAAAATCGTTGAAAACCAAATGCTAAGATCCGACAAACAAGCGCGTAGGAAATTTCGTGAGGTCCGTTGGTTCGGACGTTGGTTCGAATCCGGCCGGATCGAAGGAATTTTTTCTGAGTGTTCGATCTTTGTATTAACAATTACAACAAACTAGTGTAATTTCATAAAAATTAATTGGATATCAATTCAATTCAAATTAAATTACCCTATTAAAATTGAAAAAAAATCTAATTAAGCTTATCGAATATCAGAATGTTCCACCACCATGATATTCAATATTTTTTTGTGAAATTACTCCACTAGTTTATAATTATTAATACAAAGATCGAACACTTACAAAAAAGTCCATTGTTCCGACTAAATTCGAACCAACGTTTTCTAGCAAACCGTGCTACACGCTATGCCAAGTAAGCCACGGAACGAACCAGCGGACCTTACGAATTTTTCTATGTGCTTGTTGCTGATCTTTGTTTTTGGTTTTTAACTACTTTTCTGCCGTAGCGCCATCTGTGAGATATCTATATAAATTTATTAAATTATTTATTTAATTTTAAAATTATGAAATTTACCAAAAAAATTTGTTAAAAAGTCCTCATTTTCAGATCAAATCAAACAAGAACTCAGTAACGCTAACATTACTGCTTGGCGGCAGAAATAGGTAAGGTGGCAGTGCTTCCCTGGACGAACTCTTTTACAAGGAGCAGCTCTACTGCTACTAAATAATAATATTTAAATATATTACCAAAACGTTCTTGAGCTCTTGACATTTTTGATGTGTGTACTTGCGGGTAGGACCAAGGGGCCTACCATGAGCTCTTTAGAGCAATCCTGTTTAAGCAAATTCGTACTAATGACCTCACAAAAACAATTCACTTTCCTTGCGGTTAACGTTCCCTATTCGAAATCCATTCTCCTTTTGTTTCATAGCAAAATCGTACTACGACGTGCCGTTTGCCATGCAAATGGCAGTCTCATCGGTAAAAATAAGCAATTCAAAGAAAATTACTCCGTGATTAATTTTTTTTTATTTTGTTTACTTTTTTAAGAAATTTCGTGTAAGTTTTAATACATTGTCAGTTTTATAATTACTTGTAATCTTTTATAGGCTAGGCTATATTGCCAATTGTCAATAGATAAATACGATTATTAACTTTTGAGCGTTTTTTGAATATTTTAGTTCGAGTTTCCAGTTTTTAAATTATTGTTGATAAATTATTGGCATGAGTGTTATTGCAATATTTAAATGGAATTTTAATAATTTTATTGACTTGGCAAAAATCGTAAAATACCTTTTAAACAGTGCCAAATTTGACTTTATTACAATCAATGAAAATGTACGAATACAAGATACGTTCCAATTATGTTATCAAATTACAAACTCACCTTATTAATTTCAATGATAATGACTAGACATGACATGTAATGTTATCGTACGACAAATTAATTGTAAAGTATGATTGAAAAATTGCCGATATTAAAAAACAACGTAATAAGTACATATAATCAATAATAAAATTAATAAAAAAATCATCTCATTTTGAACACAATCGGTGAACGCTCCCAGGATAGTATATCTGTCTATTTCTTTCATATGATTTAGTATGTAGTTCTATGTCGCTCTTGTTAGATGTCAGCTAGCCGGGCAGAGGCAATAATTAACGTTTTTAAAGTAAAACTCATCATCCTGTCATGCCATTCCCGTTCAACTTTGTGTAGGTCATGATACGAACTTAAGCAATTCAGATTTACCACGTCAAGTGAATTGCATAGTGCTTGGCTGGTTGCTTATAAGCTCATAGTAGTCCCCCAGTTGACATAAGGGCAATAAGGATGTAATGTATTTGTATATTCGATCACTACAGTACACTTCGAATTTAATTTTGAATTTTCACTTTTCTTGTTGTCTCTAATGTTATCCCTATCGAAAGCCTTCCCAGCATAAAGACATTATGTATATATATGATATATGTGATAAACAAGCAAACATATTTAGCGCCCCAAAAATGTCAGTCAGACCGCGACAATGCCGAACGAGGCGTTTCGACGAGAAATATATCATTCACCGTCATACGTGTTTGAGAATTAAACATACGGGTGTGTATTTTGGATGAAAACATTGGATGATCTACGGCTGGAATTTGGACACGAATGTGTCTGAAATAAACCACGCACTAGTATAATGCGATTATTAACACAAATATAAATTAACACTCCAATAAGTGACATGCTATAATATAAAATAGCTGTTTACTCTGATTTAACGTTCTGGGATAACGTTAATTACTACGTAGCAGTCACCGGACGTGAACATTTTAAATACTCTTCTGATGATGGTGAAATAGTGTAGAGCAGCATAAAAAGCACGTAAAAAAATCAATATAACTAAGTTTCCCAATCACTATTTAATCAGTCATCTACCAGTCAACGACTCAATGAGTTCCAATGGTTCCACCTTATGTAATTTGGTACACCGGTGATATCGACTACCTGCCCCATGCACTATTGTACATTAGAATTTAAAATAAATTTTATACAAAGCACTTTTTAAATCAATCTTTAAATAATGTACAGGGTCAAGAGCACGTCAAGTTTGACACTTAACACTTAAATCCAACTCTATACCGCTTACGATAAGAACGGTCCATAGTACAAAGTACCAAGCTTGACGTGCTCTTGACTGTACATATATATGTGGTGTACGCAGAGAGATCTCTTTCAACTAAAGCCACAACCGAGGCTGTGACTTTGGTCACAGGTTGCGATCCATTTAAAGACTCCAAAAACTAATTGAAAACTATAAGTAAAGCCCAGAATGTTGTCGGCTAAACAAAAAAGCTTAAACAAATATTTGTTTGGAACGAATCATCACGTTTTAGAAAAAGGAAACGTCTGCATTTTTCCCCTAAGCCAAAAATTCATTAAAATTGTATTAGTTTTTATTAGGGTTATTTAAACAATAACATCTTGGTAGTATTGTTTCTGCCATAAACACGAGTAACCAACAATAGTGTAAAATCCGTGGCGCGGGACAACTCCGATCAGTACCGCGTCGCACTGCACTTCACCAAAAAAACCCGCGGGTTATAGGACCGACCTATTATGAGCTATTATGACCTGCCGAACTAAAAAACGAATGTTGTGAGGAAATGTTCAGGTGCGGTCTGAAGAACCTTTCATTGGAAAAGTCCCTTTACTCAGTATCAGAGTACACTCAAAGTTCTTAATAAATAATTATTACATTTATTAATGAATTTGACATTTCACCGTGTTATTATACTATAATATACATTTATTATTTAGTAAGAATCCAAGAAAGTTGTTGTTTTTATCTCTTTGTTTAACCGACCTTAATTCGTTTCTATTTTTTTTTGTATGTATATTACGCGATAACTCCGGTATTTGTGAACCGATTTTGATTATTATTTTTTTGTTACAAAGAGGGTACCTCAGTATTTAAATTTGAAGGAAATATTCCACCTCTAAGAGTGGGAAACTAGGGATGAGTCCGGTTTCACATACGTTCCTGTAACCAGTTTCAATAAAACTTGACAAATAGATGTAATTCTACGACCTTTAGAAGTCGAGTTTGTATTTGTAAAAAAGTTATTCCTTTATTTTAATGCGGGGTTCCCTGTAAGAAATATCATCCACCGCCGAGTTTAATTTCAAAATCTTTCGTCTTATGTTTTAAAGTTTACTTCCTCAGCGGAAACTGAGCCAAGGATATGTCACACGATTCATCTTCCAGCCGGTTCATCGGAGGAAATTCCCTGGAAATATTGGATGCCTTTTCATCTGTCTCAATGCTATACGCGAATGAATGAGAAGTTTCCTTCGTGTTATTGAGATTGATTTTCGTTTCACTTCTATTAATGTAACAAGAGCTTTTGATTTGAACGCTTTTGGACGTGACAACTGGTAATTATGAGCACAAAAAACGGAAATTGTCCTCAGAGATATTAATTTTATTTGTACAAATATACACATTATTTTCTGAAGATAATATTATTTTACTTTTTCTTTGGACTTTGTTCACATCTTTTAAAAATGGACTGTTTTTCTACATAGAAAGCGTTTCTAAAGCTATTAATATGGTGAACTGTAAAATAAAAATTGTTGGTAGTTAAAGTCATGAAGATACTTTACTATCAATGTCTTTCGTTAGTTTATATGCTGTTTAATCTGGCAAATATACTGTCTGCCTGATTGCAAGTGGTAAGTGTGGCTTAAAAAACACTTGCAATGCTAATTTAGGAATCTGGACAACCTCAAATGCGTTGCCTGACGTGGGACATAAGGTCTTAAGTAAGAGGTTTAACCTTTTTAAAGTGGAACACTAATGTTAATTAGGGATTCGCGGTAGTAATAGAGAAGTATGTAATCCACCCAAATGAGTAACGACAAAGAATCCTACCAATAATAAGGGTCGCCTCAGATTGGCGCAACCAAACGGTGCGCGCCATTGCGATGCATTACAACGAGCAATAAGCTTAATCTTCTGCCAGATAAGGTTACCTTTTTTCAAACAAAAAATAAAAAAGAAGATACAGCAAATAACGCTTTATATATCGACCCCTCCGACGTAAAGTATCGTATGTCGAAATTGCCAAGTTTACAGAGGAGCCTTTTAAATATTCTGAATTCACTGAAATAAGCACAACACGTGACTTTAGCATTTCTCAGTTTTATTCGACAAAGCTCGCTACTCACATAGAGTATTATAAAATCCTAGATATCGGTTAGAGGATGTATTAGATGATCACTCTATTTGAGTAACGAGCTTTGCCGAATAAAACTGAGAACTTTAAAACGCTTCCCTGTAAACTTGGCAATTTCGACATACGATACTTTACGTAGGAGGGGTCGATATATATATTTGTAAAATGCAATATAATATAGAACTATACTTACAAAATAGTTATTTGTTATGCAAGGCGGCAAAGTTGTTGTTTGTTGTATTGAAACCTGACCAAGCGAAGGAGCCTAAGATTAGAAAAATAGAATCCTGAGCATAACGAGGGTCTCAAGCCACGAGACGCAAAACAACTTTGCTGCCAAGCGAAACACACAATTTTTCACCTCACTATAGCAAGGAAAATGGTAGATGAAAGAAAAACAATAGAACTATAACAATCAAAATTAGTTACCGTTGTCAATTTAATGTCAGTAATAATAAGAATAAAATATACCAACGGTATATTATATTACACAAACTTCACGAAAAAACGCTTTTGAGAGCAGATTTCTAATGAGAAAGAAAGCCTTTTTGAGCTAGTGAGGTGAAAAAGATATTTTTATTCCCTTCTTTAAAAAAAGTATAATTATGTTTATTTCAATGTAAAATAGCAAAACATACGCGGCTTCGCCCGGCGTATCTTGCCGTCGCCACGGGCCATGCAAGGAGTAGTAACTTAGTATTATATCACAGCATCGCAACGTTGCGTTTTCTAGCTGCGGGAATTTGAATCAGTACTGTGTATCTTATGGTTATTTTCTTTTCACCAGGACATCAGAACACGAAGAACAACCGGGCCCAGAGTTCGTCTCGGCAGGTGTCTCGCTATTTGTCGGAGGTGGCGCTTGCGGAGGTGGAGTCTTGTATCGACAACGTACAACACCATCAACTCACGCTCCTGCCCACCTGGTGCCTCCGGCGTCTCATGACAGGCTTTGGATGTGGAAATGCTTTAATTATACGTAAGTATTAATTGCATTTTATATAGTTATCTAGCCTCTACAATCAGGAACACAGTTCATCTTGGTAGATAGTTGAACAAGAGACTGCAGCGTCTTACGCACTCGTCTCTTTGCACGTTTTTAGTGCAGGATATGATAACAAATAGGCATTTTTATAGTCAGCTATGTGTTTTAATGTAAATAAATAAATTTGTAAGTTGTATAGCTCTTTAATATACTATATAATGTAAATGTATACAAATGTAAATAGGTATTGTACAATACATAATGTTACACATTCCACAAATAATATTAAAAATTCTTCGTATAATGTAGTATTTTATGTCCTTGCTTATTGAGGAAGATGAGTACCATGTTTAGGCCAAAAGGCTTTGCCGAGTAATAATTAAGTAAAATGATACTTGCTATGCAACACTTTAAGACGTCATTTAATAAAATATTTTGAATTGATGTTATTCTGTTCAGAGCCGCGGTCAAGGAGAATATTTTAATTAGCAAAAATACGACGTTCTTTTTTTTTAAACTCTATTTCTCAGTTCAGTAGCGCGTACCATAGTATAGCTTACTTAATAACATAGACTGTAGAATTTTGGTTCAGAAACTAAAACGAGCATGAACGAGTAGAAAAAATATTTTTTGATCCAAATCGGACGTACCACTTTTTTTTCAAAAATATAGTCTTTATTATACGTAGAAGTATACTAAAAATGCTTGGAAAATGTTGGATGTTGATTAAAAAGTCCTCCATGTATGTATAAATACAAATACAATATTGTTTATCTACACACGTATCATAAACTCTCTGTGTGTCTTTGTGTCTGTTTATCTACACACGTATCATAAACATTATGTGTTCAAAAACCGCAAATTACGACCAGCACAAAGGTAAACTGTTTTGTTAGAACAAATTTCTTATCTGTGAAAATGTTATTATTGCTTCATAATAACATCGAATTCGATTTTATTATTACATTCAAATTTCGAATATCTCTGAAAAACAAAACAATTTCATTGGACCTCAATTCTAATGCCAGTCGAGATGAAGTTTCGAAATGAAATGTCAATGCAAACAATTTCGACAATTTCACACGTCACTTAATATCGAACGACATGATAGTTGGGGCCGATTCTAGTTTGTCTATGAATTCAAAATAAAAACTACGGTTGTGTGACATGCGTGAGAAAAGTTTTTATTTGGCCCCATTTCGCCAGTGGTAACATGCGGTTCCTGAACATATCACAGAGAGCTTGTAATATGTGTGTAGATAAAGCATGTAACTGTACACAATTAGGCATTAAAACACTCGTGAGATGTTTTTATGAACATCGCCTGTCGGCTCGTTTCGTAAACCCACACTCGTGTTTTAATACCTTTCATTATGTGGTCATATAAACTACTATTTAGTAGCAGTAGAGCTCCTTGTGAAAAAGCTCGTCCAGAGGAGTACTGCCACCTTATCTATTTCTGCCGCCAAGCAGTAATGTGAGCATTAATGCGTCCTGCTTTAGAAGGGTAAGGGTGCTGGTGAAATTACAGGCACATAGGACTTGTCGACTTATGTCTCAGGGTGTTCATTGGAAGATCTTTGCAATTGCAAAGAAGCTCTGAGTGGCACTACAACGACGACGACGCACGACTTGTTCGTCCCGTCACTTGGTATTATATAAAAAAATACATAACAATTTGTTGTGACAAAACTTTCACATTGCTCTAAATAAAACACTCACTAAGTTACTGTCATTAAACTGAAAATTTGTAAAGAGGTCAAGGAACTCATGCTTCAATTAATTAGCCTGAAATAATCTCAAGGACTGTGCGTAACTTTAAAGCCTCTAGCTGACGCAGGGTTTAATGAATCCTTTTACGAAAGGCCGAAAAGTTTCCTTTAATTCTATGAAAATTCATAAAATAAGTTCGTGATGACGCGACGCCGTTTTATACCCCAATATCCGGCTTAGTCAAGTTCTGGTAAAAATTAAGTTGGCACTTAATTTAAAATCTTAATTGCTACAAAATTGATACCTTGACAAAGAAGTATCAATGGATAGATTGCATAACAACAATCGTTACTTCTTTTTTAACACTTCATTTAGACTCGATACATAAATATTTGTTACGTAACACAACCACAGAATTATTTATTATTCCATGAACAACACGACCATTCCCGAATGCAGCGAGTTGCCTGTGTGGCTGTGTGCATTGTTTGGGATACGGATGCTGCTGCATTATGTTCTTTTTGGTTTCGCTGTTGTACCTGTATCAGTTTGCCGGGTTATCTTTTTGTTTTGTTTGAAGTATATTTAACCCTTAATTGGTCGCGTGGTTTCACACCCCATCGCAGATTTCTAGGGTCTTAAAAACTTTTTTTTAAATTTGGACATACGGCGCCTGTCTTCAGCTTAGATTCGTAAACGGGATTGTAGTTCGCAATTCATTCGTAATCGGCGCTCTTTTGTGTATAGTTGTGCTTGGAGAGCGAGTTTGGGGTGCCTGACACCCCACGCGATTGTTTGTGTAGACAAAATTCCGTAAGGTAATTAAATTTTTTTATTATTACGCATTTAAACAATTCAGAAGGACAAAACGTTGCAGTGATATTTTTAAAACGAATATATTGGTATGTTAAAGATTATGTTGTGATTCTGATATTTTTGTTTTATTTTTGAGAGGAGAAAAAAAAAGATATTGATAGTACTTCTGAAGATAAACAACATCATGAGGTCATCGTAAGTGGCCATAACATGGGCATCAGACAAAGCGAAAACGAATACGACAACATTCGCACACTAGCATAACCGCTACAAAAACGACACAAAATGCTTAAAAATGAGAGTCCTGATTCAGCATCTGGGGCAGTCCGATCATCTACAAATAAAATGATACCACATGTGTCCAAAAATCATATGATTCTAGTCTGCCAAAATTGTGATGAAGAAAATCCGGTTTTACAAATGGTGTTGTTTTTTATTTATTTGTTTATTTATTATTATATGTTTTCTAAGTCAGACACATTATAATTTATAAAATATATGTGTTGATATATTATCATTAATAAAAGTCTTTGCATAATTTCGTATTTTATTTCACGATTCTAATTTGATCAATTGTGTAACTTTATTGTCGCGACTAATTAATGGTTAAGGTACTATAGGTTTAGATATTGCTAATTTTAAATATGTATTTTTTTCCCACATATGTTACTGTCTGTCTCTCAATAAAGTCCCTATCTAACGACCCGAGAGGTAGGGTATTCCAAAGAGACTACGGGCTCGACGGCTCCGATCAGGGTACAGCAAGCGTACGGGCCAAGCCCTCCGCCAGTCTTTGCCTTCACGGGCGTCTCTGGTGGACCCGGACTTGGGCATGGACTCGCTGGGGTTGTGGTGAGCTGCAGACATGAACATGTGTAGAAGAGTTACAAAATTTCACATATACGTATATCATTTATTTCATGTAATTGTTTAATGTTTTCATGTTGTTGTAACCACTTTTGAAGTATGATCACATTTGGCTTAATTAACCCGTATATTGCCAGTCCTTTTACACGTGTAGAGTCAATTACACGCAGCTGCTATATGGCGTACTGTTGACCTAGCGCAAAAATGCGATCAGGATACGGCTTCCATCTTTTTTTAGCGCGCCAACTATGATGGTTGTATTGACGATTCCTCCGCTATATTTAAACATTTACAATAAGTATCTGGCATTGTTTCAACTTCGACCGTATCAACTTAAGGTAATTTAGTTAAAAGCCAAGTATAAGTAACAAAATTGATCGTGGTCCCGTATAAATTGCGGTAACATTTCTGGGCAGTATATCATTGGGCGAGCGCATAACTTACGTCGGCTGACAGACGAATCAGCGGATTCCCAATTTATGGAGTTCACTTTCTGACTTGTTTATGCCCTGGCCATTATCACTGTTTCGCTTTGTGGATGGACATTCAATTCACTGGACGACACTAAATCTTGTTTTCAATTGAGTAGAATATTGAAATAACAAATTTTGTCGTCAAGTGTCTGAAACGTGAAAACCTTAGACTCTAGTTGTCTCTGTCTAGTCTTCAAGTGATAATAGTCAATATTCTAGAATGAAATCAAATGCTATTAGTTATCTTATATGACCCTTAACTTTGTTTAATCCTATTAAACTTGTTTAGTCGAATTAAACTTGTTGCATTACAGATGTCGACCACCTCTGCAAGTGCCGTTTGCGAGCACTAATTATAGGCAAAATACGTACACGGTGCGTGCTTTGAGACTTTATAACAATGCGACAGTAAATCATTCTGAGTTTGATTTGTTCTGTTCAAGCATACACACAGTCAGGCGTGAAATGACCAAACGTCACTTTGACAGATCACGTGATTGGCGATGAATACACTGGTTTGTTCGTTTTATTCTTAGACTCTTTTGTAAAACTTAAACTTAAACTCGTTGGTAAAAGATACCATCCTCTAAGGTTTAATAGTATATTAATAGTAATTTGTATTTTTTTTAATTCATTGACTGCGTTCTTTGTATTCTCCTGTAATCTCTTTTTGGCTTGCTAAGCACTGTATATTATTTCATGTAGGTGGAAATTCGTAAATGGCATTGGATTACTCATATTTAAGTTTACTATAATTGTATTATTTGTCCGTGAATTTTCCTAAAATGTATAAATAAATAAAAATTTTCCCGTACCAACACGGTTCAATATGCTAATATATTTCAGAATTTATTTTCTTACAACCAAAAATTAAGTCCTTTGAAAAATGGGTATCGTATCCTATACGTATTCTATTTAGATCAGTTGATATAAAAAAAAATCATTGGTCATGTAAGGTAGATATTGAATACTGCGGCTTTCTTGTAAAATATCGACGTAAGTTTGTGTTTTTTTTCCACCGTGAAAATTTTTTGGAATTGTATTTTCACACCATTATAAAGCAATAGTGTATATTATTAATTTTATGATATATTTTTTCCAAAGTGGTTGATTTAACACTTTCAC